CCCCCCCCCCCCCGGGAAAAACACGAGAAAGGACAGAAATGGAGAGACTGGTGCTCGGAGGCCCTGTCAGGTGGAGCGAAGTGGGCTCGCGCCTACGCCAAGGTGGCGGCCAACAAGCGTCAGGCCTTGCTCCCGACAGATGACGGCATGCACACGTCGCGTCTCGCCAGCCAGTTTTCGGATGAGGTCCAGAAGTGGAGGAAGGCTTGGGGAGAGGATCAGAAGGAGGAGCACGAGGAGCTAGAGTGGCCCCAGGACATGTTCATTCCGAAACCTCCTGATGCAGAAGAAATCACGGTTTTGAGTAAGAGTTTCAAACGTTCGACGATTGCAGCAGATGGATTTCATCCCCGCCACAATCATCTTTTAAGCCGACCAGCCCTTATTGCCTTCAGTCTGGTCATGGGCCTCATGACCGTGCTCGGCTCCACGCCGAGCTGGATGCACAAGCTTGTCGTGGCTCTCTTCCAGAAGCCCGCCTCAGGCAGGCGTCCGATCGGATTCTTTCAGAGCCCTATCAGAATGACATCCCGATGGCATTCGAGGCACTGCAAAGAGTGGGAGAAGAAAGTTCCCGATCAAGGTGTATTTTCCATGGCCCCAGGCTGCAGTGCGGTCGACACTGTTTGGAGGCAGCAGATACGTGGAGATCTTGCTGTAGCAAATCGTCAAGAGGCTCATAAGGTTCTAGGAGATCCAAAGCAATGTTATGAGCATGTACAGCATCCGCAACTAGTTCGAGCTTGCACGGACTGGCAATACCCCCTATCCACGGTGCGCTTTGCCATACACACACATCGCTGGGCTAGGGTACTCAGTATGGAGGGGATGGTTTCGGAGGAGCTGGAGCCTGGGCAGGGGGTCGTTGCTGGGAGTAGTACTGCGACGTTTGAAATCAAATGTTACTGCATACCCACTGTAAATCGGTTCCAGGAGCTCAGGTTCGCACTTACATTAGCTGTTCACATAGACGGCTTCTCGCTGAACGTGTACGATAGATGTATTCACAGTTGTGTGTTAGAAATATGGCCCTGGCTATGGCTTTCTTGGTAGAGCAGCTGTCCTCTCTCTTCAACCTGCGCTTTGCCTTTAACAAGTTTGCGATCACTGGCGCCAGCACCGAGCTTGTGGAGCTCGCGCAGAGTCAGCTGGGGCAGTACGCAGGCGAGTTTAACCACTCTATCATCAACTTGGGAGTGGACTTTGCGCCTGGGAAGTCCATGACCAGACCCCAGGCCAAGGCTAAACGAAAGGAGAGGTGGAGGAAAGGGAGGGCCCGTCTTGCCAAGATACGCAGCCTGAAAAACCCGGAACGATCCACGGCCAAAGCTTGGTTTTGTGGAGTCAAGCCGGCGACTACGCACGGCGAGGAGGTGGTGGGGTGGGCGCCCCGAGAGCTGGTCTGAAGCTGCTGGCTTTTTAGGTCTCACCACCTGCGGGGCCGACCTTAACCTAGCTCTTGCCCTGGAGCCCAGCAAGGACCCGATCAGACATGCAGGCGCGACCCTAACCCGTTTTGCGAAGGAGTTCTGGTTAACCACGGACGAGAAACTTCGGCCTGGGGATTGTGTTGCTGTGGGGGATCTGGTCAAGCTGGTCCATGAGGTTCACCTTTTTCAGGAACGTCGTCCGAATGCTTCCTGGGAGTGTTTGGCTCGGGGCCCTGTCGGGGATATGCTGCAATGGGTATCCAGAGCTGGATGGTCGATCCGTGGTCCTGGGATGTTTACCATGCGGGATGGGGCCCCCTGTGTTCTATCTGGCATACCGTATGTATCCGTTTCAAAATATTTCGTCGGGGACCTAGGTGAGGAGTTCGTGCAGCAGAGTATACAGCGCAGGCTGACAGACAGTGAGCACGAGCGTGCTGTTGAGATTTTGGAGCGTGGCCTATGGGTGGAACCCCCTTCGGTCCTTCTGGAACTCTAAGTGCCAGAGCAAGCTCCAAAAACGAGTAATGAAGCAAGTGTTCACTCGGTCTTATGTGACGGCCAGTCACCTGCACAAGTGGGGCCACCAGCTTGGGCCGCTCTGCCCGCTGTGCCGCGACGGAGTGCACGGCGCCATCGACGGAGTATGGCACAGGTGCTTTGAATGCCCAGCTCTGGCAGATCGCCGAGCAAAGCTTCTCCCAGCAGAATGGGCAGCGGCAGGACTGGGGGCAGGGCCAGAGGATCAGTTTTTTTTTTTTTTTTTTTTTTTTTTTTTTTTTTTTTTTTTTTTTTTTTTTTTTTTTTTTTCTTTCTTCAGATCTTTGCGGCTCCCTGTGCCGAACGACCTGCAGGAACCGACCTGGGAAGGGGAGATATTTTTCGTGGGCCCTGACGGGCCCGTCGAACCTTTCCGATTCAACAAGAGCGAGTATCTGTATAGTGATGGGTCCTGTTACGGCGGTACCTACGATTTTGTTTGCAGAGCTGGATGGGGTTTTGTCTCTGTGAACGAGGAGGGTGGTTTTATCAGAGGCATCTATGGAAACGTTCCTGGTTTCCTTCCCCAGAGTTCTGTTTTCGGCGAAGTTTATGCGCTCCTGTCTGGCCTCGCGCACCTCGAGCCAGATCAGGATGGCGACCCCGACGGGGCCGAGTATTTGGTTCATATTGATTGCGACGCGTTGCTAGGAGGATATCGAGATCCTTGTAAGGCTATGTCAGGTGCCAGTCCGCTGTCAGAAGTATGGCGTGCCCTTGACCGTTCAGCAGTTCCCCAGGGGAGTCTGAAAAAAAGTCAAGGACCATGTGCAAGGTGAGCTCGCGGGAGTTGCCCTGCGACACCAGCGGGGCAACGCCAAAGCCGATGAGCTAGCAAAAGATGGAGCTAAACGTCATCATCACGGGGTCCTTCATGACATTAACAAATACGAGGTGTGTTTAGCGGGCTGGGAGGAAGTAGCTGTAGGTATGGCCAATACTCTCTTAGAGATCCCGAAAGCTAAAGTTCTCTTCGGGGAGTTAGCCCGCAATCCGTCCATCCCGAGGCCGAAGGTTGTCTCCAGCGGTCGCCCTCACCGTGTGCTCTGGACTGGTTTAGCGTGGAGGTGCGTCCAATGTGCCCGCGCCTTCAGCAATCAGCGACCCAAGAGCCCGCGTGTCGCCCTGGCCCCCAGCCTTAGGCAGGTGGTGGAGCTAGAAGTCTCTCCCCCACACAAGTTGCACGTGTGTCGCATTGTAGAGGCCAATATACCCTTAGTGTTTTGTACGCGTTGCGGGGCCTATACATCGGGCCTTCCCCGTAAGATCGGTGAGCCCTGCAGCAAGATCTTCAAGCAACAGAGGTCTCAGATTCTGAGTGGCAAGTGCCCATGACCTAAGGGCTTGCACTTGACGCGTCCTTGGCCCCTGGCTCGCCCAGACGTGGACCCTGGCGGCGAGTGGTGGGGCAAGATGCGCTACCTCTAATTCATTGTTCTTTGCCTTCTCACTTCCTTTATTTTCCCACAGCCCTTATCGATCATGGATTGGAAGGAGCAATGAGAGAGCCACTGGAAAGGAGGAGGAGGAGGTGGAGAAGGAAGGGGAAAAGAGGGAGGAGGGAGGAGGAGGAGGGGGAGAGAAGGAGGAGGAGGAGGAGGAGGAGGAGGAGGAGGAGGGGAGGAGGCAGAGGAGAGAAGGAGGAGGAGGAGGAGGAGGAGGAGGAGGAGGAGGAGGAGGAGGAGCTTGGAAGCAAGGATGTGGGTGGGCATTCTGTGCCGCCTCGTGGCCGCCTCGCGGGCGTTGGGTGGGTCCTTCCCGATGTTGCGCCACGTCGCCGCCTCGTGGGCGCCTCGTTGACGACCAGTGCTCTGATTTGTTCCACGACGTGGCAGCTTTTGCCACATTGCCTTATGTCGGGCCTGTGCTTTTATCGGAGGAATATTCAGAAATAGTCAAACAATAGTCGGGGAACGATTTTAGTTTGACCAGTTGCGACTTCTTTTTGGATTATTTGTTGCGTATATCTATTTTTTCGCCCCAAATCCTCCCTGTAAGGGGACAAACCCGACTTAAACATAGCCTTCGCCACAGAGCTTCCACCGTATAGCTTGCACCGCAAGCGCTGCACAGCATAGCTTTGAGTCGGGCCTGTCCCTCTACAGGGGGGCATTTAAAAACACTCAAAAAATAGTCGGGGGACGATTGTTTGACTATTTTTGCGCATTTGTGGTGTATGTCCTGGATGTGTTTTTCGTCAAAAATCCGCCTATAGGGTGACATGCCCGGCCTAAACATAGCTTGCACCACATAGCTTGCTTTCCATAGCTTCCACCTCCCGTGCACACCGCCTGGCTTACGCGACGTAGTTTGCACCCTATCTTACAACGCATAGTTTTCTTATCCAGAACTCACACCACATAGCTTATTCCACAAAGCTTACACCACACAGCTCCCACCACACAGCTCCCACCACCACAGTGCAACAACGCACGGATTGGGGCCCACGCCAGCTGACATTGTTTTTTCTTCTTGTCCTGTTTCTCCTCCTGGCTAGTCTGGTTATTCTTCGTCCGCACGTGTCCTGGCCCCCTCGTCCACGCAGGTGCCTCCGGCCAGTAGGCCTCGTACTGGCCCCCCTGCGCGGCGCGTCCGCTTCCTGGCCAGCTTCTCGAGCTGCAGCCAGCCGTGGCGGTGAGGTCCTCCAGCAAGCCCCCCCCCCTCCGCCGAAGCTTCCGAGACGACGACGAGGACGTCGTCGTCGTCGACGCCGTAGCCGCCGCCACTTCCGCCACCGCCGCCACCGCTTCCGCCGCGGCCGCCACCGCCGTTGTCGCCGCCGCCGCCGTCGTCGTCGTCGTCTTTGCAGTCGTCCCCGTCGCCTCTGTAGCTGTCGTCCGCTGTCGTCGTCGTCGTCGTCGTCGTCGTCGTCGCCGCCGCCCCCCGCCGCCGTTGCCGCAGCCGTCGTCGTCGTCGTCGTCGTCGTCGTCGTCGTCGTCGTCGTCGTCGTCGTCGTCGTCTTCGTCGTCGTCGTCGTCGTTGTTTTCGTCGTCCTCGTCGCCGCCGCCGCCGCCGCGAAGAGTCCGCCAGGGACCGCCGCCCCGAGCGAGCCGGGCCGCCCCTGACGGCCCCGCCGTGGGCGGGGAGGGCCGCCCCCCGCGCGGACGCCGCGCGAGCTTCGCCGCGCGAGCTTCGCCGCGCGAGCTTCGCCGCGCGCCTCGCTCTGCCTCGCCTGGCCCCTACCCATTTCTCATGTCTTGTTATTCGACAGTTCTTTGACTTTTCGGGGGGCACGATATGAGCGCGATTAGAAAGGAACGACGTGTACCTCGTCGGTTGTGGAAGAATCGCGACGGGAGGTTGTCTGGGATTCTCGGTCTCCGGGGGCCCGTGCCGGGCCTCGGGGCCGTCGAGAAACTATGGAGGACGAAACACTGGTCCCCGGGACAAGGTCCAGACCTTTGGGGGTCGACGTTGCGACACACATCAAAGGCAGCAGCGTGGAATGGGGATTCCCCGCTGCAATGTCCCGGCGGAGAACCGCGGGTCACGCCCGGAGGCCGCGAGGAAGACATCCACGTCCACGCCCATATCCTCCTTGACGTCCACTCCCTCATCCTCCTCCGTCCTCCGCAACAAGCACCTGCTCCTGCACCTTCTCAAGCAGCACCACCCTGGCATCCCCCTCCCCATCGTCCTCGTCCTCCTCCTGGCCATCCTGGTTCTCCTCCTCCTCCTCCTCCTCCTCCTCCTCCTCCTCCTCCTCTTCCTCCTCCTGTTCGTTCTCCTCCTCGTCCTGGTCCTGCTCCTCCTCCTCCTCCTCCTTTACCTCCTCCTCGTCCTCCTCCCCCTCCTCCTCCACCTGCTCCTGCACCAGATCATGAATAAGACGCTGCAGACTGCATGAATAAGACGGCGCCGATGCACCTACTTCCGCGGGCAGCTTGCGCGCGGTGAACGCGCGACCGATCCCCGTGGCATCGCCCCCCCCCAACGTCACGGTAGGCGGCGCAACGTACCATTTCTGTCAAAGCCTCGTTTCCCCCCACGGGAGCGGTTAACCCACCCATCCCGTTAGCTGACCGCGGAGGCCTTGGATAAGGAATCCAGGGTCTGGAGCCTTGTGGAGATCCACTTGCGTGGAACGGGGGGGGGGGGGGGCAGAAATTGTCCGCCCCCAATCATTGTGAGCTCCCTAACCTCCCTCCGTCTCCCCTCTCTCCCCCCCGACTTTTTCCTCCCTCCCGCCTCCCTCCTCCCTCCCCCCTCCCTCCTACCTCCCCCCCACCCTTCCTCCGCATCAGATCCCTTGGAGGAGGGCGGCAGGTGAGCGATGCGGTTGCGGTTGCGCGCCCGCGGAAGGGTGGAAATGTGCCGCCCAGTTGCGGTTGTGCGCCCGCGGACGGGCCGAAATGTGTCGCGTTGTTGCGTCTGCGGTTGCGCGCCCGCGGGCGGGTCGAAATGCGTCGCGTAGTTGCGGTTGCGGTTGCGCGCCCGCGGGCGGATTGAAATGTGCCGCCCAGTTGCGGTTGCGCGCCCGCGGGAGGGTTAAAATGTGTGGTCCGGTTGTGGTTGCGGTTGCGCGCCCGCGGGCGGGTCGAAATGTGTCTACCAGGTGCGGTTGCGGTTGCGCGCCCGCGGGCGGGTTAAAATACGTCGCCCAGTTGCGGTTGCGATTGCGCGCCCGCGAGCCGGCTGAAATGTGTCGCCCAGTTGCGATAGCGCGCCCGCGGGCGGGTTGAGTTGTGTCGCCCATTTGCGGTGGCGCGCCCGCGGGCGGTTTGAAATGTGTCGCCCAGGTGCGGTTGCAGTTGCGCGCCGGTTGGCGGTTCGAAATGCGTAGTTGCGATTGCGGTTGCGCGCCCGCGGGCGGGTTGAAATGTGCCGCCCATATGCGGTGGTTCTTGCGCGCCCGCGGGCGGGTCGAAATGTGGCGCCCAGTTGCGTCTGCGGTTGCGCGCCCACGGGCGGGTGGAAATATCTCGCCCAGTTGCGGTTGCGCGCCCGCGGGCGGGTTGAAATGTGTCGCCCAGGTGCGGTTGCGGTTGCGCGCCCGCGGGCGGGTCGAAATGTGTCGCCCAGGTGCGGATGCGCGCCCGCGGGCGGGTCGAAATGTGTCGCCCAGGTGCGGTTGCGGTTGCGTGCCCGCGGGCGGGTTTAAATATGTCGCGCAGTTGCGGTTGCGGTTGCGCGCCCGCGGGCTGGCTGAAATGTGTCGCCCAGTTGCGGTTGCGGTTGCGTGCTCGCGGGCGGTTTGGAATGTGTCGCCCAGTTGCGGTTGCGCGCCCGCGGGCGGGTCGAAATGTGGCGCCCAGGTGCGGTTGCGGTTGTGCGCCCGCGGGCGGGTCGAAACGTGTGGCCCAGTTGCGGTTGTGCGCCCGCGGACGGGCCGAAATGTGTCGCCCATTTGCGGTTGCGGTTGCGTGCCCGCGGGCGGGTTGAAATATGTCGCGCAGTGGCGATTGCGGCTGCGCGCCCGCGGGCCAGCCGAAATGTGTCGCCCAGTTGCGGTGGCGCGCCCGCGGGCGGTTAGAAATGTGTCGCCCAGTTGCGGTTGCGGTTGCGCGCCCGCGGGCGGGTTGAAATGTGTCGCCAAGTTGCGGTTGCAGTTGCGCGCCCGCGGACGGATTGAAATGTTTCGCCCAGTTGCGGTTGCGCGCCCGCGGGCGGTTGGAAATGTGTTGTTCAGGGTGCCCTCCTGACATTCAGTCAGTCAGTCAGTCACTCAGTCACTGGCGGGCACGGAATTTCACCCAGCTCCGCCAGGAATCGCGACGTCGGGGGTCTAAAAGCCCAGACACATTTTTCGTGTTGAGCTCTTCGAAAGTTCTTTGAATTTTTTGGGGGCAAGATTGTTTCATTTCTAACTGTTTTATCCTGGGCCTCTTCCTGGCCACTAGGGGGCCAGGAACAAGTAGAAAAGAACACACTTAGAAATGAGCACGATTAGACATGAGCGACGTGTACTTCGTCGCGTCGTGGAAGAATCGCGACGGGAGGTTTGCCAGGATTTTCGGTCTTTGTGGGTCCTTGCTGGGCCTCGGGGCCGTCGAAAAACTATCCAGGACGAAAAACTGGTCCCGGGGAAGGGGTCCAGACCTCTGGGGGTCGACGTTGTGACAAGAATCACAACGTCGGGGGTGCGGAAGCCCATCCCATCCCCTTCGAGCCATGGTATCGCTAGTTGGCGGCGAGCGAGGGGGGGAAGCGAGAAGGAGAAGGCCCTCGAACCGGGCAATGGTATCTCAAAGCCTCCCAAGTGGGGTCCGAGTAGCCACTGGGGTCAGATGATCGCCCTGCATCGGCGATGCACCGACGATGGGGCTCCATGCACAGCCCGACTTTGTCCACGTCGACGTCGCCAGTGCATCGCTGACGATGCATCGGCGATGCGGCGCGATCCTCCGACCCCATTCAATCGGAACCCATTCAGGAGGCCTCGAGTATCTCAGCCCCACCATCCCACCACCCCAGTTGGGGATATCGGATACGTAGGCCCCTCGAAGCCCGAACGTAATAGGCTGAATACCAATCTAGGTGGGTAGATCGGCCAGTGAGTCCCAGGCCACGCCAGTGGGGATAGGGATCGGTTAAACGATGCCCATTCGGCGCGCACGCGACCGCCCCGATTTCAGTTACGCGCAAGGGTGGCCCTGCGCCAGCGAGGCGTTCGAGATACGAGGTTTCAGGCGAAGATGCTTCTGGGAGTGCCAGGATCATCCCGAGCGGCCGCCCGGGACCCGAGTTATGACCAGAGAAAAAAAAACAGACGACCAGGACCATTGAGGAGGAAATGTTCAGGGTGGGATGCATCGACCCCCCATCGCCCACTGATCGCCGTCAGGGGCCTGACAGCCCACCCCCACCCAGGAGCGTTCGGACAAACTATCGGGGGCCTATCGCCGATCTATCGGCGATGTATCGCAGACGCCGGGTCGATGCTTCTCCCCCCCCTCCCCGAGCCGTTCCCCTGGACGTGTTCGCCGGTTCCGCGCGCACTATTCGGGGGTGGACAGACCTCCTACCCTGACACGTCGATTAGTGAATTGTCCGTTTTCGGTTCTCGAGAGGGCGCCGCGGCCGCTATTTTCCAGGCTTGCGCCCGCCAGGTTTGGGCCCGAGGTCGTTTTCACTAAACCACGTTTTACTAAAGGGAGGTCTGTCCATCCCCGAACTATGCCTTTCCAGAGGTTGCGCAACCTCGGGATGCGGTCCAGCAGCTGCGCCTCGCCTGTACAGAGCGTCCCCCCGGGTGCCCCGAGCTTGTCCCGGACAGCCGCCGGAGACCGGGGTCCCGTGCTGGAAGCCGGGCGGCCCTTCGCCAGTGACCTGTACAGTGGATCGGCGACTGCAATCGGTGCGGTTACGCCAGTGTGCGGTTTGCCAGTTGTTTTGTGGCGGCCTTTCCGGGACCTTTGTGAGAGACAATGCCATATTTGTCGTCGTTTCGAGCGGCATTGTCATCCTCGATGTGTGCTCCACTGTCCTAGAGGGAGCGACAGTGTCGTGTGATTCGGTCGCATTGAATGACAGTGTCATCCGTTTCCCGGTGGCGGTAGGTGCAGATAAGACGGGAGGTAAACCGCACCCTTTGCAAGCCGCACCCATTGTAGTCGCCGAGACCCATGTCAGGAAGCAGCCTGCTTGCCTCCAGGGTGCCCTGGGTTTCTTGGGTTGCGAGGGTTTTGCGATGGAAGGCGTGACGTTCCCATACCAGAAGTCGATGGACGTCATGGGGTCTCAGGGTTGGGTTTCTTGTGGAAGGTTTCTTGTGGACTGGCCTCCACTGTAGTGTTAAGTCGGGCACGGCCTTCTACAGGGGGAAAATTCAAAAATCCGTCGATCCGGCGTGTGAACTACAAGGAGCCTCAGCAAGAGTTTCAGCTCTGAGCCTAAGCAGGAGCTTCAGCTCTGCTGAGGGGGGGTCGCCGTGGTGGCTCTGCTGGGGAAGGGGGGAAGGGGGGGGAGGGCGGTCCCCCATCTGGCGTTTTCTTGCTGATTTGCGCATCCCCAAAATGTTTCGGAGTGTCCCAGCGGACCCCCGTCAGATCTAGCCGCTCCCCCCACAGGACCCTCCCCTCGGAACCCTCCCCGGACCCCCCCGGGGACCCTCCAGGCACAACCCCA